ATGATGGGAGTCAAACACAGCCATAAGTTGCCCAACAGATTACTAATATGATGGGAGTCAAACACAGCCATAAGTTGCCCAACAGATTACTAATATGATTAGAGTCAAACACAATTTTATAAAAATTACCTCTCAGATTAATTGAATTACTGACAATTGCTCAGTTGAATTCGTTTGTTTTTCTTATCGCATTAGCTACACAATGGGCTTTCTGTGCCTTGCCCACCTCCTGAAATCGAACCCCGGATTTAAGCGTTGTAAGTCCACAAACTTGCCGCTGACCCACCGGGGAACGCTCAGTTTGAAATTATAAACATTATTTTAAAAGCTTCTCGCCAAGACGTGGCCTAGTGATAAGCGCATCAAGATTGTGAATCCGAAAGTTCATGGTACGCAACGGGATGTTGCCGCTAAATCACGTTTCACGCTTCTGTCCATAAGTGTGTTATAACGGTAAGGCTAAATTCCATTCTGTGATCAGGCGAGAATTGGCCGGCCCAAGAGCTAATCGCGGGTGTTGTCAAATAGCTGCTTTTTCTCTAATGCATTAGTTCAAAATTAAGGACGGCTATGCGCGAAATTCTGAAACGTGCAGAACCAATTACTTAATAATATATCGTACTATAATTTTAGAGAAGTTTGTTTCCACTCTAACTCCTCTTACACTTGGACCTGTCAAATATCTTTTAATCAACTTGGAATGATTCGGGATATGTCAAGAAAAAGTTTTCATAGCTCCAGTGCTGGCTACATATAGAATCAGTCGGTGGGGTAGCTACTAGGGGTACTGATGGCATGTCCCCATTTTCCTCATTCATTATATGAAATATACATACACCTACGTACTTTCAGTCATCATTGGTATACTTAGGACAAAAACAGAAACACTATCTATATTCATAACTGGTATAACATTAATCCTAAAATTGCATTTCATTTCCAAATACCATCGGTTATAAGGGGATTTTTTTTCACACATTGTTTATACATATTTTCAAGACAGGCACATTTTTATTAAGTGAGATGTTTATAAGTCACATGTTACTTATTGCTTTTGGATTTAAAAATAAAATAAAATAGAAAATAAAATTTTATTTAAATAATCCAACCCAGTTGACAAGAATACTTTTATTCTTATGTACTTTTAGTA